GCCGATCCGCCTATCCTCTTGAAACAGTGTCTTAGAAATCCAGGGGTTGTCTGCTCAATGACCCATGCACTGTCGTTTGCAAGGTCTGACATGTCAATGGTTCAGACCAAAGGTCAAATATAGAGTCGAATATGGTTAGTGGAGGCTGTTAATTTGCAAACGTCGTACGAGGCTCGTGGTGGCCGTCAATGAGAGTCGCTTGGTGAGACCGTGTTCAGTCTTTGATGTATATAAAAGTTGAAGTTCGGCCGGTCGAGACTGAATCATGACCCGAAACATTCATTCATCAATCCGTTGGTGGTCTTAAGTCGGTCGGATTCAAAAGTCGCACTGGGAGGTCTCGCGTCTGAGTAAAGGAGCACTGTGTTGATTCAAGGCAGACGGACAGCTATAGTTGCTGGCGGTCTTGGAGATGTGTTGTTGTTTGGATGCATAGTTGGCGGGAGCGAGTTGCATATGCATAATTGAGAATACAGTTATTCAGTTATTTTGGAGTTTTCAGCGCTCTGTAAACACCCACACCACAACATTTTTTGAACTTGACTGAGTTGATGAACGAAGAAAAGAAAATGGTAGGGTGCTGATACCTAGTCACATGACCTAATGAAACTACGCTAAACTACATTTGGTGACCACAAGCCCTACTTCCCACACGTGACACGTGACTTGCACCTCGCTAAGCCGGCGAACTAAAAAAAATCCACAATACAGACTCCTTCGACGACAATCTCACAAATCGACAACACCCGCGCTACCGTCTTGACCGCGCCGCCTCCGTCAAGATGAAGCTCAACGTCTCCTACCCGGCCAATGGGTCCCAGAAAATTATCGAGATCGACGATGAGCGCAAGCTCCGTCCCTTCATGGAGAAGCGCATGGGCACCGAAGTCAGCACTCCTTTAACCTTCATCCTTCCCCGACTCCGACACCAAATCGATGGACAATATATATATACACACACACATACGACTATGGAGAACGACTGGCTAATTGGGATTTCTTTTGATTAGGTTGCCGCCGATTCTCTCGGTGATGAGTTCAAGGGTTACGTCTTCAAGATTACCGGTGGTAACGACAAGCAGGGTACGCATACAATCCCTCTCCACCCCCAGTGTCGGAACAACAATTCGATAATGGAAAAATGGAATTCAACGCACACAACGAGAACAAAAAATGCTGACGATTTGAATTTACAGGTTTCCCCATGAAGCAGGGTGGTACGTACACAGCCGCACAACAACCTGGGGAATGATCAAAAAAAATTATATCCAACCCCAGGGATACAACCACCAAACCGCAGGATACTCATCGAATTATTTCTACAGTTCTCCTCCCCACCCGTACCCGTCTCCTCCTTGCCGACGGCCACAGCTGCTACCGCCCCCGCCGCACCGGTGAGCGCAAGCGCAAGTCCGTCCGCGGTGCCATCACCGGTCTGGACCTTGCCGTCCTTGCTCTGTCCATCGTCAAGCAGGGCGAGGGTGAGCTCCCCGGTCTCACCGACACCGTTGTCCCCAAGCGTCTCGGTCCCAAGCGTGCCACCAAGATCCGTCGCTTCTTCGGTCTCGACAAGAAGGACGACGTCCGCAAGTTCGTCATCCGCCGTACCGTCACCAAGGAGGGCAAGCAGGATTACACCAAGGCCCCCAAGATCCAGCGTCTGGTTACCCCCCAGCGTCTCCAGCGCAAGCGCCAACGCGTTGCCATCAAGCGCCGCCGTGCTGAGACTGCCCGTGATGCTGCGTAAGACTCCCTCTCTTGTTTTCTACGCTCTGATCAATTATCGACCGGGGTGTATTGGTTTGATTTTTTGAAAAAAAAAAAGAACATCTGAACTAACGGTTACATAGTAACGACTACGCCAAGCTCCTTGCTGGCCGTGTCCACGAGGAGAAGTCCAAGCGTGATGAGCTCCGCAAGCGGAGGGCTTCCTCCATGCGGAAGTAAACTTCCAAACCCGCGGTTTTATGATTTCGTTCTGCGGCGATGGGGTTTAATGGAGGAGCTTCACGTCTCTGGGATGATTTGAGGGGAATTCACAAAAAATGAATCACTCTCAGGGGCGCGGAGGATACATGTCTGATAAAATGAAAAGGGAACAAGAAAAGAGACGGGGAACAGGTTTCAAAACGTACAAAGCAGGCTGAGTGGTTGATACTCCCTTGTGTTTGGCTACGGTGATTTCGGGCCTTGGGAGTCGCATGCATATCTGTGTTGAACCTACCTTTTTTTGATGACCCTTTTTTTTTTTGAATGGAGTGCATGCAAATTTCAATACTCAGTTCTGTCAATTGCTCGAGGCTTTTTTTTTTTTCTAAAGGAGTAGGCGTAGTTATATATAAGTTTATATTGGGTATGGAGTAGTCGATTGTATATGCCCTCGATTTATATTCTTCCCCCACCCCTCTCTCTCTTTGTGGGCTCTGAGGTCTACTCCACTTGGATGAAGTCACTTATATACACTAGTTCAATAATGCCATTACCTTAAATTCCCCCGCTTCCAGGCACAGTTCCCCCAAGGGTCAGTATATGCACGGTCACGGTCACGGTCACGGTCACGTGTTGTATAGGGTCTTAGAATGGTCCCAAAAGGCGTTCAGAATTATGTTTTTCAAGGTTATGATTGCCCTTTGAGGTCAATAGTATGCTGTACGTACTGCGAGCAAGGTTATTCCAAAAAAAAACTTCCATTATCGGATATGTTTCCACTCCAACTCTGCGGTTAGTAGTGCCCAAGTCGCGTGTGTTTTCCTATATAAATTTACACCACAACGCTAATTGACGGTAAGTCGGCTGCCGAAAATGGCTACCTTGGACGCTAGTTTGAGCTCCCTTTTTACTTACTACCTAGATATATATCTAGGTATACTGGTGATCAGAGATATATCTACAACATCCGCTATCAGCTCCATTTCGAGCTACGCGGTGCTTCGAAGATATCCGTATGTTTTGTGGATGGACTGCACATACAAAACTGTTGTGGTGGTGGCCTCAGGCATGAACCCCTCGTTCGGCAGATAGTCGGCAGATCCTCCCTTTGTAGTCAACTCTCTCCCTCCTCACTTTCTAGCCCTACAATGCCGTAGTTGCCACAATAAAAACCAACTATATATATAAGATGCCATTGCTTGAAACCGTTGGTGCAGTGTCGACTGGGAATAGCTTCTATGCTGGTTTTTCCTTCCTACAACATGAGCAAGAACCCCTCATATCGCTTCTTTTTTGACTGTCTGCGCGAGATTTATAAGGATGGTGACTTTAGCGGCAGGGGGTGTGTTTTTTAAAGATCCCTTTTCTATATAAAAATGTATAAGTAGTCCTAATTAGAGATGTCTTGGCGTTTATATACCGAGTTATGTAAAAAATGGGTTATAACTAACTAATTATTTTGAAATGAGGGGTTTATCTTGGATCAAGGGCTTGGCTTCTCGGGGTTTTGATGCATTCTTTGAATAATTTGATCTCGGAGAATATATCCATGATATCCTGCAACGACTTCAGCTTTGACCTCTCAATCCCGAAGCACACATGCATTCATGCACTGGACAACTCATCAAAACAAACGAAGAAACCTGTACGACTTTGCAGAAGTAGCCTGACTCGATATATCTCACGCAGTTCCACCACACGAGTCATGTCTACACACATACGTGCATACCTTAGACAGCCATGCATATTTAGGTGTATGTTGTATGTGTTTTGCATTAAACCTTTGTTTTGAATAGAGTGGATCTAATACAAATCAATCTTCACTGGATGGATGTGCTTATCAATTGAATGCTTTAGTAACAGAAAAGTAGGGCTTGGCTAGAAACCAGTTATGTTCAGGTAGCTACACCGCAATTTTCCAAAAGCCTTTGCATATCCCGGGATATACATTGCAAGTCTATTTAGTCTATTTAGTCTATTAGGACAACAGAGAGCTAATAACGTGAAGAAATCCACATAAATGTGGCAGTGGGTCGAAAATCAGATTGAGTTACCGGTACTACCGGGTCCTGAGATCCAGCTAGCCACAGTCGTCACTTTTATTGATTTAGTGAGAAACTCGTGGCAGGTGGGCGTACTTGGTTACCATGTTGTACATTGAGAAGTACTGTTGCCTACCACGTTTGCTTGAGCATAGGTAGTTCTTCAGGCTTAGCTATAACTTGGATAGTATCAATAACTGTCAACAATTTTAGGCAAAACAGCTTAATCAAATGATCATATTTGCTTCACCACTGTCAGCCACTTGGTACATGTACCCCCAAGCTATATTGGTAAGCTTTTGTCTTGTTGTATACAGATACCGCTATTGGTCGATTCCTGCACATACTATATTCAGTAGGCCAGCCTTTTCCTTCTTCATGAGTAGTACAGAGTAAGTTGAAGTATGGCGTGCAGATCTTTTTCTTATTTGGCCGGAGTGACCTGTCCGATTTACATGTCCAATTTACAGCCTTTCCATCCGTGTAGCATGAAAATCCCTTTTGTCGAAATAAACCTCTTAGGGCTGACTTGAGTGTTTGTGCGATACTGTTCAATTGTGTGGTTTCTTTCTAGAGTAAATAATGTGAGCCTACGGTAAAACAAAATAACTAATGTATTGTTGCTCTCCCTATGTATTTCGTACTGTAGGGGTGCTTCTAAGGTTGTTCTTGATAGAAACGTAGAACTGACCGCTCCTTGGAATGGCAATCTTGGAAGATATATGATATGCACGTTGATGTTTGGTTCAGCTCAGCCAAGGCACGGGGTTGATGCGTAGGCCCATACTAGTGACGATCAAGCTAACGTCACGGTTCTACCTACCGGTTAATGCCAATGTAGGCGATAGTTCTCTTACCAAATGATATTGACCCGAAGCCTCGAAGAAAACCTATATATACTGCAATAATCACCATCAAAACTTTTCAATTCCCCAGTGCTCTCAATTCATTCAATCTTTGGAAATATCCAACCAACCTTCCTATCAAACACCAAGCCGTCTATCACTTCAAATCGTTTCAACCCACAAAATGGTTGACGCCGTCATTCCCAAGCTAGGCCACCCCAGACAGTTTTATGTCTTCTCCGGCACACGTTATACCACCGTCGAGATTGACAGCAACTACAATGTCAAAACCGTCGGAGCCGAGAGTCTAATCATACGTGAAAAATGGTCTGAGACGTTTGGAAAAGTAGGCTGGGGTGCTGTTGATGCTATGTTCAGCGCCCCTGGCTACAAGAACGGCTTTTACGCATTTGTCGGAGGCAACTACATGCAACTTGACATCGATCCCGATAGTCAAAAGGACAGCACTTATTACGGAACAATTAAGACCGAGGCAACCTGGAAGGGTTTGATGAGTGCCGGTTTTGATACCGTGGATGCAGCCATTCAGAGCCCCAGCGATAGTGACTGTTTGTTCTTCTTCCGAGGCACGAAGTCTTTCAAGTACTCCATTTCGGGCGACAAGGTTGTCTCAGGGCCCAACCCAATCACCTCCTATTGGCCTGGCATTGCCGCAGCCGGCTTCGACTCTATCGATGCCATCTTCCGATCCCCCAATGGCGACAGCTATTACGTTTTCAAAGGTGATCAGTATGCGAGAATTAAGTGGACTGGAGGATGGGATTCTTTGGAAGTTGACGCACACACAATCCGCGGAAACTGGTCAACTTTGGGAAACTGGGTTTGAATTGAAGGAACTATCTTCAACCGTCAATTGATTGCGGAATAGGGTCTTTCAACAATGTCCACTGGAATCTTTTGTATTGGGTAGCTCTTGTTCTTGCTTCCATGGGTACTATACAACATATATGTATCTATTCCATTCGTTTGCAAAACAAAATAGCAACACATGTTGCGGGTGATTTTCCGTGTGCATTTATAGTATATATATAGGTATCTACTAGAGAGCCCTAGTTATGATCACAACAGTAACTATGTTGTATATCAAATTTAAAAAACCATGTCGAACTTTGAAGGTTATGAAACAGCCCTTTGGCTTTGCAATAATCTAAACCAAATAGGAAGTACACACACATGCAAATGATAACTAACCAACTTCCGCCAGATAGAACCGCATAAAGCCAACATTTAAACGTCCATCTCTCTCTTCAAGTGGGAAAAAAAAACAAAAAACAAAAAAAAAACATAGTAAACAATAATAAAACACCCGGGGACTAACATCCCCGTCCGGCTAATAAAAAGGGTCATAAAAATCGTATTTTCTTTTTGTTTCCCGCTCCACGGTTTCGCGCAACCACGCTCGTAGGTAATCTCTAGGACAACCCGTAGATTTGATCCTCTGTCTTGATGTAATAATTCATTTCCTGCCTTTGATTCACCCCACCGTGTGCGAGAACAAGAAGCTAACTGACTCTCCATTGTGTGTACGACGGCATGCCTCTGCCAATGTAGGGCTGATATCGATCGTATGGATCTTGTCGCACTGCTCTTGTTTGTCGCCCAATGGGACAGTGTTGCTGACGATAATGCTGCGAAAGAGTTAGTCAAAAGTGTCCCAAAATGTAAATCATCCTAATATTCCAATGACTCGATGCTGGTATCTGGGCGTGTATACATACCGCTTGAGGCAGCTGCCGTTCAGGTTCTCAATCGCCTTGCCGGACAAAATACCGTGCACAACGATGGCGTTGACTTCAGTGGCTCCGTGCTGCATGACGGTTTCGGCAGCCTTGGCAAGTGTGCCGCAGGTGTCGGCCATATCGTCGACGATGATAGCGATCTTGTCCTTGACATTACCGACAAGGACCATGCGCGAGACCTCGTTGGGACGGGCACGTTCCTTGTGAATAAGCGCGAATTGCAAGTCCAGGCGATCAGCAATGGCAGTAGCACTTAACAGCAATCCAAATTAGCCCTTGAACTATATCATGTGTATAGTATCCAGGTAAGCACAACTCACCGCTTGGCACCACCAGCATCCGGGCTGACGATGACACAGTTGCTGACGTCAAGGTTCTCACGGATATACTTGAGCATGCTGGGCTCGGCGTACAGGTTGTCGACGGGGACGTTGAAGAAGCCCTGGATCTGGCTGGCGTGCAGATCCATGGTGATAACGTGGTTGCAGCCGGCAGTCTGGAGCATGTTGGCCATCAACTTGGCAGTGATGGGAGCACGACTCTTGTCCTTCTTATCTTGGCGGGCATAAGGGAAATTGGGGATGACGGCTGTGATGCGGCGGGCTGAGGCGGTCTTGCAAGCGTTGATCATGATCAGGAGCTCCATGAGTCCATCGTTGATATCATTGGGTTTCGTGGATTGGAGAATGAAGACTGCGTAACAAGTCATATATATGAGTGGGGGTCCTTCATATCATGATTAAGGTGGGATGCTTGTACCATCTTCGTCCCGGACACTCTCTCCGATTGTGACACTGGTTTCTTGATTGGAGTATTGCAGGACCATAATCTTGGTCAACTCAATGCCGAGTCTGATCCATAACTCTAGAGTTAGCCGCTGGCCCAGTCTTCCAAGGTTGACCTAGTCGGTTACACATACCGATCAGCAACTAGGTTAGCAAGCTCGGGGTGACTGTTGCCAGTCAGGAGCTTAATAGAGTTGGTAGACATGATGTAGGGTTCTGTGAGACAGTAAGAAGAGAGATATCCAATTCAAAGAAGCACAAAACACACTCTTCTTCAAGATGACCGTGTCCAGCTCAAAAAATCGATTTCCCTCCGCGGCCCCGCATGTCTTTTTTTCCATGCAGTCCCGTGACGGACTCACCGCCTGATGACATAAACCCACCGCCAAGCCCTGAAGCCCTCGATATGACCTGCATGTGAAATTCTACTCATAAAATGATTAAGAAGTATGCAGCAAGTTCGAAGGAATAAGAAATAAATGCAGCAATTTAAGTACATAAAGAGGGCTCTGAAAAGAACACGGTTGACCTGCACTTCAACCGAATCCTTGACCAGGTGCCTCAGTTTTCATCTTCTCATAAACGAACTTCTTCTCGCTGGCCCATGCCAGCCTTCCATACTCATACTTCTTCATTCTTCCCCAATAAAAAGAAAATCCCATAAGAATTAAGAGAAACGCCAGGCAATGCTTTGGCTGGATGAAACCATTCCCATGCCGTAGAATAGGATAGTCTAAGCAAACCCGAAGTACTCACTGCCAGCCGTCACGGCCGTGTAAAGGCGTTGACGGAGATCTTCATAACTTTCATACTCAGGAAGATCAAGCTCTGTTAAGAATAGTTAGTAAAATGCATCAATGCAGCCAAGAAATGTGAGGAAAAAAACTTACGGTTGAAACAGGTATGCGAGCTAGGAAGGCGATCCTTGTGGCCGTAGTCGCGATGGATGTTGAACTTGCTCACACCGTTCATACCCTCAAGTTCCTTGAAGCCATTGAGGGGAACCTTACTGGTTCCAGTGACGAACTGCAAAAGCTTGGCACGCTCCTCCTTGTCGAATGAGCGGACGGCACGCCAGAACCACTGGATCTGTGAGGAGGACGCGGAGTAGTTGTGATACTCGGTGTTGTTCTTCCACTCGTCCACATCGATCTCAGGAAGACCGGAAATCAAAAGTTCCAGCTCTTGCTCGTTGAAAATGGAGATCAACTCGGGAGGGATGATTTCGTGGAAGCCCTTGAGGAAGTTGTCCAGTTGCTCACGAACAGATTCGACGAGGCGATATTCAACCACGCGCTGAACGTACTCCTCCTTATTCTCCTGTGTAACGGGAATGTCGTGACCACCGGGCTTTAGGTCAATAACCTGCTTTTCGCCAAAGTCATCGGTTTCAATGGCAAAGGTCTCGGTAATGATATCGGTAATGTCGTTCTCCAGCATCCACAGAAGTGATTTGTAGTAGTCCAGGTCGAGAGTTTCCATATCCTTGATAGATACGGATCGTCCGAGGATATTCTTGTAGACTGCTCGGCTGAAGTGACAGTCGAGAACACGGCCTTCGTACAAGGCCTTACCAATGATCCGCCCGATGAATTTGAAGAACATAAGATGTTCCGAGTTTACGCCACTAAGGCGGTTGGGGTGGAAGGTAGTGCGATCAGCGGCGACAGGGATAAACAAGGCGTAGTTGGGGTTGAACATGCCACGGGCAAGAACTTGGAACCATTCTCTGGTGACACCACCAGCATCGACACCCTCCTCGCCATGGAATCGTACGTTCAATTTGCCATACTTCAATTCATCGGCGCTCTTGAAGTACAAGGACTTGAAAGAGTCAAGGAAAACCTCAGCTCTGCGCACAGAGAGCTGAAGAGGAGGATGAGGGTGGCGAGGCTCGGCACCGCGGGAGTGGACACGACGAGTAAAGTAGTTGCGCTTGTTGTCGAATTCCAGGACCTTGGGGTTCTTGACCAATAGTGAGAATGTGCCGCTCATGAGGCGAGGGTTCTGGCGGACGAGCTCATTGAGAATCTTGCGATGTTCTTCGGTGAACCGGAAGAAGATGTTCTCCATGCTGAGACCAGCATCAGCTGTGGCGGTGCTGTTGACTGACAATTCACGGCTGCCGCGAGATAGCGGCTGGTCCTTCAGCGTGGTGTTCTTGCAGACGACCATCAATGCCTCAATGAGAGGGAGAAGAATAGTAGCCACGTTCAGCATATTTTCCTTCTGCCGAATGGCAGTCAAGCAGTCGCTCAGCTTGTTCCAAAGCGGACCGAAAGTGGCGCTTTCGTAGAGTTTCTTGAGCACATCCTCCTTGGGAGCGGATCCTGGCTCAATATCCTTGGACTTGTCCGCTCGTGCCTGGTCAAATAGATAATCAAGTGCGGTCAGGATACGTAGCAATTTTGCCTGGTCTGAGCTAGCTGGGGAGAATTTCGCTAGAGCAAGGCCTTGCATGTCGGTACCAGTCTTGGCCTGGTGGATATGAGGGAGAAGATCCTCCAAATCACCCAAGATGGTGTCGCTAAGGGCCTGCGCTTGAGCAACCAGCTCATTGCCGATCACGTCTCTAGCTCCAGGAATAGCAGAAAGATTGTTGATGGTGGAAAGTGTATCGCGGAATGTCTTGCCATTGCACTCACGAGCCGCAAGGATGTGGACAACCAGTCGGAAGTTGTGGTCCGGAACGACAGGAGGCTCGATGGTTCGCTTCTTGCGCTTGTCGTCCTCGGTGGGCTCCTTGGAATCTTCAGATTTCTTGGCTTCAGCTGAAGTAGCCTCTTCGCCCTCTGCGGTCTCTTGACCATCGGCTCCAGGGGTTTCCACAGTGGGAAGTGGAGCGTCGGTCATGGATGTGTCCATACTGGAATCGGCAGCCTCAGCAATTTGATCGGCGGATGCTTCGATTTGAGGTCTCTCGGGCTCCTTGCCCTTGCCCTCTTCCTGTCGCTCCTTCTCACGCCGAAGAAGGACGGTCAGTGGCTGTGTGATGCTGCTAAGGAGGCTAGAGAGTTGCTCCATGCAGTTAGGGCTTTCCATTATCAACTTGCGGTCAAGGAGAGAAAGGAGTGCATTCAGAGCGAACTTGTTAGCTCGGTTTTCTTTGCCTTTGCCCTTGCGCAATGACTTGAGTTTACCAGCTGAAGCAGAGTCATGCTCCGTCAGGAAGAACCACGCAATGTGAGGGTTGAACTGCGAAAGGAAAGACAGCGCAGCGATACATTGTTGGATGACCATAATTGGGGTCACTTCACTGCTGACGCTCGAAGCAGTCTGGATAGCAAGGGCTCGCTTAGACT